GCAGCAGCAGCTATTGAGATAGGCCCCTGAAGCTGCGTGTTTTCTGCTGCCTGTGTTGCTGCTGCTGCTGTGCCGGCACTTCTATGGCTCGGTGTGAGTCCCAGCTGCTGCAGCGCAGCCTTTGTTGCTTGCTGCTGCTGCTGAGTTGCAGCAGCAGCAACTGCTGCTGCTGCTGCTGTTGAGCCTGCGTTCTGCTTCAGTGCAGCAGCACTTGCATTGAAGGCAGCCAGGTGCGAAGCCGTGAGGCCTGCTGGCAGCAGGATCTGCTGCTGCTGCTGCCTCGGGTGGTCTGTGGGTGTTGCTGCTGCTGCTGCTGCAACAGCAGCTGCTGCAGCAGACCCTTGCAGCAGCGGGGACAGCCCCACAGGGGCGGTTGCTGCTGCTGCTGCTGCTGCTGCTGCTGCTGCAGGCAGCACACCCCTCTTGGGAGCACGAGCAGCAAAGCGAGAAGCAGAGCGTGTCAGCCGCGTACTCGGGCGCAGGTTAGAGTTGCTGCTGCTGCTGCTGCTGCTGTTGTTGCTGCTGCTGATGGCTGCTGCATCCGAGGCTTCGGATGCAGCAGCAGCAGCTGCTGCTGCCGACGCTGCTGTTGCTGCTGCTGCTGCTGCTGCTGCTGCGTCTGTCTGCAGCTGAGCAAAGCCCCCAGCTGCTGCAGCAGGAACAGCACCAGCAGCAAACATGCTGCTCCTCGTTCGCTGCCTGAGGCCTCTCCTGCTGTTGCTGCGGGTTGTTAGATGCGTCCTCCCCAGCAGCTGTTCTTGCTGCTGCTGCAGCAGCAGCTGCTGCTGCTGTTGCTGCTGCTGCTGCTGCAGCGCCAGACTTGCTGCATCAACCCCAGAGGTCTCCCCGTTCCAAGACAACAAATACTGATCCGCATCATCCATTGCTGCAGACTGCTGCTGCTGCTGCTGCTGCTGCTGCAGCTGCTGCTGCTGCAGCTGCTGCTGCTGGTCCTCTAGGGCAAGCGGCTGCAACACAGGCGAGGAGGATTCTGTCTTTCGATCCGACGTTGCTGCTGCTGCTGCTGCCGTTTCTGCTGCTGCTGCTGCTGCTGCTGCTGCTGCTTCAGAAGCAGCAGCACGGCAGTTGCTGCTTGGGGGCTGCGACGATGCACTTGGAGCTGGTGGAGCTGTAGGAGTAGATGCTGCTGCTGCTGCTGCTGTTGCTGCTGCTGCTGCTGCTGCTGCATCGTCTGTATCTCCTGGTTTGCGGCGCTTGCTGTCTCTCTGGCGTCGCTGTGCAGCCTCTTGCTGCTGCTGCTGCTGCCTCTCTCTCTCTTCCCTCT